GCTGTTTTTATGGAGTAAAATGTCCGCAAATTTAAAAAGGGTAAAATTGAGATCTTTTAGGAAATTTTACCAGAACCGCAAAAACACCAGCCGCAAATATTTACCGGTTTACAATATGCCACAGTCGACTTTGGCCAAACATTCAACTCCGTGCGGAGCACGGGTATTTGCTAGTGTTATGTAAACATACTAATACCGCCGATTCGTTTAGACTGTATTTAGACATTAGACTTCGGATTTGCATAGTTCTATACTATACTATACATGACACCACTGCGGCATTGGTATTAAATTGACATGTCATTGCGAGCTTAATGTTGCAATTTTTTTTCACCTTTGCAGTGGAGTCCTCGCTAAATGTCAGAGATACGTAAGTGATACCCATAGATTACCTGAGATAGAGAACACTGGTATACCTAGACACGCTTATCGGCGGACTGTGGGTATTCAAGTGGTGTAGTGCGTAGTAGCAATATTTTGTGGAGAAAAAAAATGTTTTGAGGAACTACATGTTGTGCGCGCATTTCGGCTCAGTAAGTTTATGTACCAACCAAAATGTAGTTTGTAAGATTTATGTTCTTTAATTTTTGCGAACTGACATTTGGTTTACTAATTATACCATTCGTACACTACAATCGAGAGGAGAATGACGCGGCAACAGGCATTGCAAGATAGTGTAAGCTACTATATGTTTTTTCGGGAGAGCATCATATTAAGATATTATATCAAGGCCTATATATTGCGCCTGTTTTATGTTATCAGATATGATTTGATGCGATATGGCGTGATGAATGTGCCAACGGTAAATTGGTATGATATTACAGAACAAGATACAGATTAATAGGTGACCATATAGGCCTACAAGCACGGTAAAACGTGTAGTGGGATAGTACACAATGCAATGTACTGCAATTCTATGCAAAACAACGCAATGCAATACAATACAATACAATGCAATGCAATGCAATGCAATGCAATGCAATGCAATGCAATGCAATGCAATGCAATGCAGTACGATACAATGCAATGCAATGTAATTCAATGCAATGCAATGTAATTCAATGCAATGCAATGCAACGCGATACAATAAAATGCAAGACAATACAATAAAACACAATCGAATAAAATACAATACGATGCATTCAAGCATGACACGAAAAATGTTTCTGGTGAAAATCTGTCCATGACCTTGGTTTTCTATTTTTTGTCATCTAGCTCACCACCATCTACTTTTTTCGTTTTCGCCGTGGCAACACTGTGAGTACTAATTTATTTTAGCTGTGCAAGCATGTTAACAACATAATCCGAAATATTTGCCTATAGGGCCAATAATTCTCACAGACCTTATTTAATACACCTGTATAATGTTACGCTCATGGCTGTGGTCTATGGGCTGTGATACAATCAGGAGGCTATTATATATATATATAACATGCATGTGCGTGTGTGTGTGTGTGTGTGTGTGTGTGTGTGTGTGTGTGTGTGTGTGTGGTGTATGGTATGTGTATGTGTATGTGTATGTGTATGGTGTGGTGTGTGTGTGTGTGTGTGTGTGTGTGTGTGTGTGTGTGTGTGTGTGTGTGTGTGTGTGTGATGTGTATGTGTATGTGTAGGTGGTGTATGTGTGGGTGGTGTATGTGTGGGTGGTGTATGTGTAGGTGTGTATGTGTGGGTGGTGTATGTGTGGGTGGTGTATGTGTGGGTGGTGTATGTGTGCGCGCGTGCGCCGTGTGTGTGTGTGTGTGTGTGGAGGGGGAGGCGTGTGCGCGTGCGTGGGCGTGTGTGTGCGCGTGTGTGCGTGCGCGTGTGCGTGTGTGTGTGCGTGCGCATCAGTATGCGTGCAGTGTTTACAGCAGCTAGTTTGTAACTGGCGATGGCTTACTGTCGTAGATTGCTGGCGCTCGTCGTGTCCGGCCTCGTGTTGTTCATGCGGCTGCGTGCAATGGACGGAAGACTGTCCGAACAATTACCCGCTCAACTGTACATCGCCAGTGAAATGGACAGGTATTGTATGCTCAATATGCCAATAATGATGATGATGATGATAATAATAATAATAATAATAATAATAATAATAGGTACTATCATTATTATTACGATCGATAATTAACTATAGCAGTATTAATTGAAATCGTAAGAATGATAATAACAGTACCAATAATAGAGTAAACACGTCACTATTTACTGCTGGTTATAATCGTACTGATAAGTTACCTTTGCCGCAATACTCGCTGGATAGTGTAAGCTTTGTCTAGTCTGGCTTGGCATAGTTTATGAAGGAGAGTGCCATTTTTTTGTTCACTGAACACATTACCAAACGCGTGCGCTGCTGGTTTATGTTGAGATTGTGTTCGTATATATATATATATTATGGTTGCGGTTGGTTTCAGCAATTCGTTTCTGCGGGAGATATTTAAAATGAAAAATACGCTGCACGCTAAGACGACGCGGCGCATAGAGGATGTGCTAAGCCATAACCTACATCTACTAGCACAGGTATGTATCTACGGCAATCTTTTCTAATCTACCAGAATCACTATAAATGACTTTATGCAATTTTAATCACCTTACGATTACGGTGTTCGTCATTATTTACAGAGTTTGGAGACATTTTGGCATGATTATACCAACAGTGATATAATTGCAATACATCATAGATCTAATCGTTAGCATGTATCGTTATCGTTATCGTTAGCATAGTTAGCATGTATTTATCCAGAGAGACATGATACAAGATTGCGTGGCACAGCTTTGCTGTTGATCCTGAGCGCTGCGCGCGTAGAGGATGAGACGCGCAGTTCCGCGGGATATGCGCACGCGACCGCGGGGATGTTCAAGTATGAAGCGCTGTCCGCAGTGGAGACGTGCGCCAAATTCGAGGCCCGGCGCACGTCTCCACAGCGGTCAGCGGATGCTCTGTAGTTTTAGAAGATAACAATGAAGACTTCTAAATAAGAACTATCGGCGGCTAAATAAGAGCAATATACAGACCTTTAAATTTCTTGACTAGTCAGTCAAAGGGCTTGTTGGGGGTCAAGTGGAATTGTGTTTTTCGGAAACCCAAAGAAAATGTCTCCCTTTTATACATGCACCCCCTCCTTGATCAATCACGCATTCAGGCGTAAACAATAACAGAGATGAAATTGTGTCGAGTTTGTGGCTCTTGACGCGCGTGCATTGACGTACAAGACTGTTGAAAGCACAGGCACTTGGAACGTCTCAATAAAAATAAACATTCACACAATTGTTCACAATGATCGACCGCCTGCGTGCAAAATAGGTGAACGTATGTGAAACATATACGGTTAGTACTTACTGTGACATATCCGTGACTAACTGACACCACTAAATTGGTAAAATATTCCATGCACCTTAAGAAATTCTGAGGTTATCATCGCAGAACTCCCGACACCGCCCATCCTGATGTCACAAAGCTATATGTAAACAAACACGCGTGCTGCGAGGTGCCTGCCTTCGATATCCATTTCGAGGCCCGCTAAGCCTAGCATAAAGCGCGCGGGCAAGACGCCACACACACAGCTACGTTCATTGGCTAAACAATCGAGTAGCGCGGTTAGGGATTTTCGGAATTATTTAACTTCACTTCCGAAAGCGGGTAAAAATGCCGAATTTTTCCACTTCGATGCGAAATGCATCGGCCGGGCATTTCATTATTTACGAAAAGTAAACAGGCTGGCGAAAGACAGTAGGCCTATGTACAGTAACGGGTGACGTCGTTGACGCCCCATTCATGCCCATCAACGAAGGCGGGGCTTATTCTGATTACGGAGATGCGAAAATGCTACAGAAGGACGTAGCGCAGTGCGCTAAACAGCGTGTTATTTTTGTATTTGTGGCAAACTCTATCGTATAGGAAACCGTTCTAACATAGCAGAATGCCTGTTAGGAAGAAGTTCCTGAGATCGGCGATTTGGTGGTCCAATGGGTCCCCATATTTAAAAGTATCAGAGACTGGTGCGGCGTAGGCTGTGATTGGAAGACACAAAGTGTCAATCCTTGGCGCGCCTCGGCATCATGGCCGCATCACGTCGAGTGTAAACGCAGCACGACACGTGAAAAGAAGCGACTAAACTCATGTACCACGTTCTGGTTCATTTACGCACTCATCGATTTGGTCGTTATGCAGATGTCACCCCAGTGGCGAGAGTCAAGGCAAAGCCGTATTCGCGGCGATGACCTTATGATTACGTCATTCATAAGTCGTTCTTTTCTGTTACCAGATACAGCAGTCGCTGGCCGGCCTGTCTGTAGTGATGAAGGATCCAAGCCCCAGCGACGTAACGTAACATTGCGCGGGCTCTTGGCGTGGACAGGGGACTATTAAATATATAGTAGCATATATATTTAAATCTATATAAATATATTATAGCATGTTCGTACAGCTGATTATGACAACGGCAACGACCCGCCTACGAATACACCATCGAATCGCTATAGTCGTTTGCGCCTGACGTCAAGGTAGCGAAACATTACGACGAGATGTTATCGTGAAATTATTGAGGTAAAGTGTTTTACAACAAGCGTTTTGTGGGAACGTAAACGATAAACGGGCGTAGCATGAAAACGCTACTTTATTTTATTTATTATGCGTGTATAATACGAACTTAATTTTTTGAAATTTTAACTGGTATTTGTTTGTTTACATTGTTTACGCACTAGTATCTTCTAGCATTTACAACTATATATTAGTTTAAACTGTATACAGATTAGTGATTAGGATACCCGGTGTTTTCGTTAAATTACCATGCTCGTGTTGTCGTTTCCTGCGTACATGAATCAGGGGTCGAAATAAGCGATGGTCCGATGTTGGACCATTGAATATTTTGGTCCCATTTTACGGTAATTTTCTTCGTTTCGATTATTGCTAATCCAGTGTTGACCATAGCAAATATTTGGCATGATGTAACAATGAGAATAATTTGAGATTTAAAAAGATCATCTAAAATTTAAGAGGACCATCTAAATTTCAAACTAGATGGTCTTGTTGACCATCTCTTTTTTTCTCCTTATTTCTACCCCTGTGAATACATGCTAGGGTTTTACGCTCCGTTGTAATTTTGTGTTAAGATCAAAACGAACATTTACACATTTCTGTAACGGGAACATTGTGATGACTGCGGGAGGTAATACGCTCTTCGCAATCGACTATGTTCATTTGAGACACAATTCATATAAAACATTCATATAGAAGTTTTCGATATTCTGCAAAGTCACAGTACCGCATGCGGTCTGTGTTTAGTCCCTCGTTTGTGGGTTTGGTACTTGTTGCATGCGCGCTTGTGTGTGCGTGCGCCCCCGTTTGCATGCGTGCGTTTATGTATGTACGCGCGCGTTCATGTATGTATGCGCGAACGTGTGCTGATATTTGCGCGCGTCCGTGCGCTTGCGTGTATGTAGGATCTGGCAGAATGTAGACGTTTTGGTTCCGGGTTGCACTAACCCCCGTGTGCCATTTTCTGTTAGCGTGATGAAATATACATTGACCCTAAGTGCCTGAAAGTCGAGAATAGCTGGACCATCCAAACTCTCTTTACGTTCGTAAACAGACCTACGTGATGTACATCCTTATGTACGTATGCCCAGATAAGACAATATAGTCCGTTTATGCATCGGTATGTAACAAGCATTTCCCCCTGACGCCTAATGACAGACACAGGTTCAATGGGACGGTGAATCTGGTTTCAGGTGTACGCTATAACCAGGTCCCAAGCAGGAACCTTCCTTGTATAATGTGATAGAGGTATAATGAAACCGGTATAGAGCTGCACGTATGAAGACTAAGTAAAGCTGTCTTAGACTGTTACATATAGGAGGCCAGGAAACTGTACGTGAAAGGTGGCGACCTCACTGATCCATCCGACATTTTATTTTCACGTACAAATAATTTTATGACAAAAGAAATTATCTGTGATATTAACGAACGAATATGCCATGTTATTTGCTAATCATGACAATGACAATGAAATTGTGATGTGGTACTGATATTTACCACAAATAAACACATGCGGTAGGTATACCGCCGAACGCGAGCTTAAACTTGTCCCTCTGATTCTGAAGAACTCGTAATACCCATAATTGAGCAGATAGCCTTGCAGCAGAACATGCCAATGTTTATTATGCGACGAGTAAAACGATAAATCCGGTGAATAAGATGTATCTATGTGATCTAACGGTCTGTGATTCAGATATAAAATAGACTAAATAACGTGATATGGCTGTTGTAATGTGTAATACACGATAAGTACAGGTGAGATCTATCGACGACCAATAAATCCGTGTACCAACAACGAACGAAATAACAACTTACGAAATAAAAGGTTTATTTACAGTACAATTTTTATCGTATCATCTGTACTCTGTGCCAAACGCAAATATCAGAACTGATGTAGCGATATACATAGTGATGGGGCCGTATCCAGGGACAAATGATCGAGCGGATTGTAGACCTCTAAGCGCCAACAACGAGAGTATAATTTGTTTGTAACTGTGAAGTGTTTATCTTTGAACATGTTAACATGCTCGCTTTCCAATAGTTTTGTGCTATCGGCATTTTGTTTATAGTACAATTATAATACCCCAAGTGCGGGCAATAAATACGTTTCAACTATACACGAATACAGTGAATGGGGAAACCCAAATCCCCCTTCAATCAATGCGCAGTTTACCACTGCAGCGTCGCAATCATATGCAATATTTCACGAATTCGTCGTGCTACTAAATCGCAACGAAATCAATAGTCAGGTGCCAGCTTTTCTCGGATAAGGCCTAGGACGCGAGACACGCACAGTTTCACGTTGTGCTTCCACGACCTACAGCGACCCTAGCAACCCACCAACTAGCTAGCTAGCTAGCTACTAGCTGTAGGGGTGACAGGTAAACCTGGTCCACGCACATGCCCCATTCAAGTACGTGGCGCCATCTCTCGAGCAAAATCGTACGATTCGGCCTATCTAATAATTCGACAGCTTATGGATGTGTATCTACTGATGTATATGCACTTTAATCTGGTTGGGTGAAAGGCAACTCTCGTAATGAGTTAAAGAAATTGTATTCTAGTATTACACCCAAATTTCTTATAATATCTTTAACGATAGACAGTTCACTGCCTGACCATTTTTCTATTAGCGAGCACTTTGCAATTTATTTCATTCACACTCTGGCAAAAACTATACTATAATTAGGTAATCTCTACTCCAATAAATTCCATGACTATAAGTAAAATATCATTGCGATCTGCGTGTACCTACAAAGTATGGACAGTGTATTCCACAAATATAACACTCCACGTAATAAAATATAGAAAAACGCACGGTTGGAAGATGTATACTATTGGTGCTACCTATATTGTCGAAAATGAACTCATTTAAAACTCAGGAAATGGTCCCAGCTTATCAGGGAAGGTCAGGAATCATGAAAATGTCTCGATTAAGCGGTGAAGGCCTTTCCAGTCGCACATGAATGCTTACTCGTACCTTACGCAATCGTCTGTACACAACAGCAACTGTACAATGCAAACTGCGTATGTAGTGTCACCGTATACATTATTACTGTAACGAAACTAACGCTGAGAGGGTCTATGTCCCCCGGGGTACTGCCGGAACGTACCCTGGGTACGGTCCGGTATACCGGAACGTACCCTGGTACTATCTAATATGCCGGACCGTACCTCGCCTACTCCACTAACGAGTCTAGGGAGTCGCCTACGCCTACTCCCTAACCCTAACCCGAACCCTAACCCCAATCCTAACCCTATAACCATATCAAATAGTGACCAGGGTACGTTCCGGTATACCGGACCGTACCCAGGGTACGTTCCGGCAGTACCCTGGGGGACATAGACCCTATGAGCGAAACTAACAGACGAAATTCAAGTTTATTTCTATACAAAACGCGTGAATTTACTCACTGTATAACAAACCCAAGTGCCGCGGAGCGACAGCGCTCATCTAACGTCTACTGCGGTGACTCTGTGGTGGAGTGGTGGGATTCTAGTAAACCCTGCTAGTCCCAAATGTGTTCACATACGCGCCGAAACAGTGGAAGGCACAGGGATGGTATCAGGAACTTTCTCAAAGGAAAAAGATGGAAGCTCCAAAGTACGTAGTAGCAACAACTATTTGCAAGACAGAATAGGTAAGCACTCATCCATTTACCTACGCAAGCCTACTGGCTGAAATAGAGAGCTGCCACCTGTAACTAATTAACGCAGGCAAAAACTACACAGTACTATCACCACCACATGCACTGGCAGTGGCATAAGTTACATGTAACACACTGACAGTACAGAATGCCATAGAAATTATACGATTTAAGGAGCATAAACCTTCTTCAACCAAATTTAGCTTTTGAAATTTCACTGTGACATTGTAGCCTCATACATCCAGGCATGTATAGATTCTACTAGCAAACCCGGCAGTCAAATTCTTTCTAACCGTAAACAAATCCATGTTTAACCCTCCTCTTGAGGGTCAAAAGGTTATCCGACACTTACTCTTCGCATGTCCGCAGAAAGTACATTTCATGGTCCTTACAATAAAGCCATAAAAATGCTAGTTCACCGCTAAAACAAAAAAGTTTTTCAATCGCTCCATCAGACCATGTCCTCCGAAAATGCCTAAAATCTGCCCTGTGCCCCATTGACCTTTGACCTGTGACCTCCAATTTTGGCACAGTAATGGCTTTTCCTACCATGATGCTATACACCGACTATCACGAGCCTAGGTCGAGCCGTTTAGATTTGTGCCGCAATTCTGCATTTCCTCCCTATACCTTAAGTTAAGGAAGGAATGTTCCCCCTTCTTTTACACCTCTTGACCTTTGATCTTTGACCCCCAGCTTCGACATCCCAACTCGTTTTCGGATTACCCCCCCCCCCCACGTCCCGAATATCGTGACCGTACGTCGAGCGGTTAAGATTTGTGCCCAACTGTTGACGGACGCACGGACGCACGGACGGACGATCATGCGATTCTACAAGCTGCATCTGACTACGTCAGATGAGCTATAAAAACAGATAACGTTTGAACATTTTGCCGTAAGTAAACTGAATAACTGAAGGAGAACAGGGAAGGTCATACTTGGTCCTAACATGCAAAAATATCATGCAAACGTGATAAACAACTGCCCGACTGAGGCAAACGTGAACAAAATAAACTGGAAATTGCATAAAACCTGAAGCACTAACGATCTCATCTAAGTTACTGTAAATGCTTTTGTGTAAACTAATTATCCTAGTGTTTTTTCTGTTCTTCCATTGACACCTGCGAATAAGCCAACGACTCGATCTCTTTGACTATTGGAGAAAACTTGTTTAAACCGTTCTCTTGTACAAAGCGACGGAGATGATTTACCATGACAACTTTCTGCTTGCTAGTCAGCGCGGGTTGATCCTCCGACTCAGAATGATCAGAATCACCTTGATTAGTCGCACCAGTCCCCTCGGAATGAGAAACACACTCTCCTGAGACCTCAAGCAATGAGGCATCTGACATCTCTCCAGTAATGGCTAGATCGTCATCCACACGAATGAAGTCGGCAAATTCTTCCTCGGTCATGTTCTGTGGGACGACAACGTCAGCAAGTATGTCACTGTCGCTGACGTCATCGGATTCAGTAGCATTTCCATCTCTATCTCGGTAAAACGCCTTCCAATAGCAGGCTGCTATTGTCTGAGGAAGCACAGCGTCCCAGGACTCATTAGCAAGATGAAGAGCATCTAGCACACTGACAGAGCTTGCAACATCCAAAGCGCATCTCTCATTGTCAGCAGCCAGGGAAGCGTTTATTCGTGCACTTAGCTTGCTCCTGTAATGCCCTTTCCAGTTCCTAATCACACCGATGTCCATTGGTTGCACAATGCTGGTGACGTGTGTGGGAAGAAATCTGACAGAAATATTTGTCAGTTCAACATCGTGTGGATGAGCAGAGCAGTTGTCAACGAGTAGGCACACGTGACGAGCACGCAAACGTAACTTACGATCCCACTCCTCCACCCACTTGTGAAAGATCTCTTCTGTCATCCAGGCATTTCTAGATGAATCGTAGGAGACCGGCAATCGCTTAAGATCTTTTGGAAATGATCGTGGCGCCTTTGATTTTGCAATGACAAGAAGGGGTAATTTTTCTGTCCCACTCATATTCGCACACAGCATAACTGTAAAGCGTTCTTTCGCTTTCATGTCTACCAGTAGTTCGCCACCATTTTCACAGTACCCTTTCTCAGGGAAATCTCGAAAATATAGGCCAGTTTCACCTGCATTAAATATGTCTTCCCGACTGTAGTCCTCAAGAATTTTCGCCAATCCAGCTCTAAACGATTCGTTTGCAGTGGACAAATCCTCATGCTGTTTCTCACTGTGCTCCTTTTTGAAAGTGATGTTGTGCCGTAACTTCCATCTGCACAACCATCCTTCAGACGGTGCAAAATAAGAGCCATGGGCTGACGCTATCTCCTTCGCCTTATTCTTCAGAATTGGCCCAGTTGGACGTGCCCCCTGTGCCAGTTTCTGTTGGAACCACGCATGTAGGGCATGTCCCACATCCTGCTCTTTCCCCTCCCGTTTACGTTTTCTGTTCTTGTTCCCACTCTCATAATCAGCAAGGATGATAGCTTTCGCTTTAAGGAGTCTAGAAATTTGAGATGTGGAGATCCCATATTTTTTGGCTGCAGCCACCTGGGTTATTTCTGGTAATTCAAGATGTCTTAGAACTTCAACTTTTTTCGACAATGGTAGGTCCACACGTTTCTTTGCGGAAGCCATGTTGCTGTGAATGTTCTAAAACAGTTTATAAATTCTTGATTGCACAACGAAGGTACAAACTCATGACGTGCATGCATGAATGCATGCACGCAGGAACGGCAACACACACACGCTTCCACGCACACACACACATTTACATTCCTGTAATCTCTCTTGCTTCAATCACTTGCAGCCAATAATTAGCAAAGTTAATTGAAAGCGAATGCAAGGAAATGCAAAGGCAATGTGAGAAATACTGTAATGCTGACAATTGTAATTTTTTGAAAAATTCGACTATTATTTGCTTTCTTACAATAAATATAAATACACGTACACGTGGGCATGTTTATGGGAGGGGGGAGGAGTTGAGTCAAACGCATGTGTGTGCGTGTGTGTCTTTATGTACATTTATGTATATTAATTGTTTTTTCCTTGTCAATTCAGACCTAGCATGTGTTGCCTTCACGTTTATAGCCCTGTATCTCTAGGAATAATAAGATTTTCTGCCAATGGCATGGTGCTAGCAGTTTCTTCAAATGTTTGTACCTGATCTGAACTGAACTCATTGCTTACAGCTTGCACTTTCAGCGACTGAAAAAAGTGAAACGCATCAAGCAGATCCTCTTCCCACAACTCCCTGTTGTCTGGCTGCAAGTGAACAGCTCTGGAGAAACTTCGCAGTGCCTGTATAGTTTGCAAAATTACCAAACAATTAGTACTTAATTTAGAATACAACACTTTAATTACTTGGCAGTTCATGTATCTTCACATCACTCTCGTATGTACATCATTTACACAATACAAATACATTTCGTTATAGACACATTTCAGTTGTAAACCTCATCACATATACAAAAAAAAGTTGTTTTTACAGGTATCCTGTGTTATAGCAGCTCATAACTTATCTGAAAATATGTTGAATGCTTGATATGGCTAAGAACTAGTAAGTTAAGTATGCCAAGAAAAATACTGACCAAATTTACCTCTCCAAGAGAAATCAAAGCCCTGCCATGAGTTTGGTGAGCCACCCACCACACGGGGTTGAATGATAGTGCCATCTCTGCAGCCTTTACTGCACAGAATGGCTCGCCCAGATTCAGGTATGCCTGAAATACCAGTGTCAAGTTCTATATGATTGAGATTTTATTTTACTCAGTTGATAGATTCCAATTTATTTATTAGTTGACAGACAATTTCACTTCACTTGTGCGTGCTTCAATTTAGAGAGTATATAATTTCATAGCACATTTTTGCCTGACCTCCCCACCTCAAGTAAATCCATAGATCAGTTAAAAAATCACACTTATCAGTTGCTTTTCTAATTTATTTATGTGTATGGTTCTTTGTATTGCAAACCTGAAATTAGGCTACTATCAATGGGTCAATTATAGAATATTAACACTTGCATATAACAACGTGCTTAACTCAAGCTTATAGTCACACCTGTGCTTTCATTTCATGTAACTTTGCATCATACGGTGTTAACGTACAGGCCTTGTTCCACATTCCAATGGCTTCCGTGTACCTAATAAATTACCAGTGGTGACAATAATGCATTGTATAATGTGTCTAACTACTGAATGACATTTCCGTACTACATCATCAAGAAATTATTAAATAATGTGTGCATGTGTGCCCGTATTTACTTACATTCGTAATTATGCCTGCAATATAGGTCAGGTGAATACATACTTTTTGGCTAAAAATCTTTCTGTAGGAATGCATCTCTAATCATATAATGTAATGGCGCGTTTGTTTGGGATGAATCCGTCTGATCGAGATCATGTGATCCTGATCCGACCAAACAAATGCAAACTCACTTTCACCGGTTCACGTTTTTGCTGTGACCTATCACGGGATGGTTCATAACAAAGAACAAGCTGTGATTGGCTGAGGCGCGGGCCGCCATATTGGATCCCATTCGAATCCGCCTCGCTAGCAGGGTCGGGTTCGGTGGAACGAGATCAAGTGATTCGACCAAACAAACAGTCAGATCAACGAATCCATTAGATCGAGATCCATGGATCCGACCAAACAAACGCGCCCAAAGTCAATGAAAACATATGATTCACATTACTTATTATCATGTTAAGAACATATTTTGAAGAACTCATTACTTTCCTACTTCTGGGTAGGACTGTATATATGCCATGGTATATGCCCTGTACCTATCCAAAACATGCAACAGGGCACTATTGGTAAGGCATTACCTTCCTTGTTCAGCCATTTGAGCACCTTCATTTGCAATGACATGGCTTTTAGCAATTTTATCTTCAAGAGAAGAATGGCGTCTTCTTTTGTTATGATGCTCAGTCAAATTTGCATGGTCAACATCGGTAAAGTCAGGCTCACCAGCAGCAGACTGAAACAAGTGACACACCTGCAGTTATAAACTCAGGCTCAATATTTAACACGTGGTTTCCAATAGCATCAAACCATAAACAAAGGGACCAAAAGACCTAAACCTACTGCTTGACACTGCACAGTGTGTTGAAATGTTTTAAATCGAGTACAGGGTTAGAAACTAAATTTTTTAAGCAGGCAGCAAGTACTTGCAGCTAGAGAAAATGGAAGGCAGCAGATTTCATTAGCTGTGCAGAAACTTTGGAGCATTTACTACAGTACTATGGTTTATTAGGAATTCCTGGGCAGCAAATATTTGCTGTAGATGTGGAAAGCAAACACGAAACTGACGCTCATAGGGTCTATGTCCCCCAGGGTACTGCCGGAACGTACCCTGGTCACTATTTGATATGGTTAGGGTTAAGATTAGGGTTAGAGTTAGGGTTAGGGTTAGGATTAGGGTTCGGGTTCGGCTTAGAGAGTAGGCGTAGGCGACTCCCTAGACTCGTTAGTGGAGTAGGCGAGGTACGGTTCGGCATATTAGATAGTACCAAGGTACGTTCCGGTATACCGGACCGTACCCAGGGTACGTTCCGGCAGTACCCCGGGGGACATAGACCCTCTCAGCGAAACTGACAGTTTTGGGCAACAAAACTGCTGCTTGCTGCCCTTAATCTTAGAGCATGGAGTAGTGGCTTTAAATGGTCTATATCTGTTTGTGGCATTTTATTAGGGCAACCAATTAAAATCAAACGATGAGATAATACTTGCCTGAAAGACAGAAGCTGCTGTCTTGCTACTTTTTTGTAAACTCTCACCAGCTTTTCTTTTCCACCCAAAAGAGGTCATTGTGATAACATCTGTAACAGCAAGTTAAGGGTGTTATGTCTCAGGAAATATTCATGTTAGATTGATTGTTATTAACATATTTACTTCATGCTTGTTTCAGAAAAATTTAATCCTACTTGTTTTAACAGCCTTGTCTGGATAGCATATTATATAGTATACAACCCACACTGTGTCTCTTGTACTGGGTTACATTACTGTACCTAGACTATACAGCATATAACCACTGGAAGCGAGATCCAGAGAGACCGGATACAAGATGGCCTTGCGCAGAAGATGCGTTGTTCCCCGACCGCCGAAAGCGGTTAAGCCGCGCACTTCCGCGGGACTGGGCGCACGCGACCGCGCCCCCACTACGCTCACGCTACAGCACATATATATAACACATTAAAACTATATGGGCACAATCCTAGTTTAGGACCACAGCCCTCATTTGCACAAATGTAGGTGTAGATACATAGGCCTGTGACGAACAAGGACTATACTACTTTTACTATACTAGCACCAGAGCATGTATATCATACAGCACAATTACGGCTGTCAATTTACCCCGGGCATAGAGGGAGGGTGCCGCTACGTGGCAGCACTATAGTCACTTCATACACTTCCGTCATTCCACAGTCTGACTCTGTGATACTTCCATGCTAGACATGGCCTTATTTCCCTAAACCTAACCCTAACACTAGTGCTGCCACGTAGCGGCACCCTCCCTCTACGCCCAGGGGAAATTGACACCGCACGATTACTCACTATTTGGCCATTTTAAAATTGAACTAGTGCTGCCAGCTAGTGACCGCAGTCTAAATACTATAATCAGTAAGGTACACGAAGACAATCTTTGCTTGTCATTTTTTATATTCAACTATAAAATACTAGTAAAAATCAATCATGGGTTTTTAATAACAATAAAACGCAAAACGTCTTGCACTTTTAATGTTAAACATATTGAGATCAGATAAGAGGGGGTATAAGTTGCCCTTTTACAAGATAGCTAGGATAGGACTGGTCTAGGTTTTTGATCTATAATTCTCTTCACAACCATCGTACTTCAATTCGCAGGTGTGTTTCTGTTTACAGAAACATTTACAAATATGATTATGGTTATTTGGGATATTTTGCAATGTTTGTGCAAAAACTAAAAACGCACGAGTGTTTACATTAATCATGTACTTTCCTAAGCGCGCCTCGGCCATTTTATACCCCCTTTTTCTATGACCGAAATACCACAGGTGGACTTTCCGATATCACTTATATGTGCACAATCGACTGAACTCTTCCGCAACGCTTTAAATCTTTTCTTTAATAAACTTGTGCATATCATGTCTGAAAAAATAATACACCCTGCATCGTAGGTAGAGAACAATAAGCTGCCTTAAGTACTCATGGTGAATCGGGCATGACTAATGCTGAAACAGCAACATGCATATATACACATCTTTAATCAGGTCTGCCAGAATCAAGCTGCTAGTTATCAAGCCATGGATATTTGCTTGAAACGCATTTTCCACTTGCTTTAACAAATCAGTCAGGATTTGTGATGGTGCAGACAGTGCACTGAATAAGCCTTTCTTGTAACTGTAAACTTTAAAGTGGAGGTAACATTGCTCGTGACCTACAACATTGCTGTCTGCACATCAAGGTACCCTGCAATATATGTGAGGATATTACTGACTACTATACCAGGGTTCATAGTAGTAAGACACATGTTGAAATAAGGACTTATAAGACCCTTTCTGGAGGCCAAAATAAGACTTTTTTTACGCGATTTCTGATAGATCACCGACTATTAAAGTACACTAATAATATTTATATACACAATTGCACAGCAGATTTAATTATTCCGTATTATATATACAACAATTCTTACTCTAAGTCGAGAACAGTTTATAAAACCTAGGGTCCTTTGGCAAAAAATAAGGACTATTAAGTACTTTTCTAAGATTTCACCAAAAATAAGTACTAATAAGGGCCCTTATTTTATTTTTGGCAAAATAAGTACTTATAAGACTTTGGAAGACCCACTACGAACCCTGTATACCTATTTATATATATATAAAGTTCTGGCTACGTGCATAAGAGTTAATGAGCCATTTCTTGTTTCTGAACAACATAAAAAACAGTATTATTAATAAATAATATAATGAGATTACACCCATGTCAAGCCCAACATCAAGGCTGAGCAGGGTCAATGGGCGCAAATCCACTTTAGGCGCCACAGTTAGGTATCACGAAGTGATGCACAGATTGCTTTCCGTATATCAGGGAATGATGCAAAAACCCTAACCCTAACATACTTCGTGATACCTAAGGTTATACTTTATGACTTAGGATTAGGGTTAGGGTTTTTGCATCATTCCTTGATATACGGAAAGTCTGTGCATCAGTTGATCTTCTTCTTCTTCTTTTTCATCTGTTGATGATACACAGAAATCTGTGCATTACTTCGTGATACCTAAGGTGCCTAAAGTGGATTTGCACCGGGTCAATGTTCAACTTGGCAATCTCGCCAGGATATATAGCCTGATATAATTGTTATTTAAATAAAAACAATTACAAAATAACTCTGACTTAAAGTAATTGTCGCGAGAGTTTTCCAGTGTTTTCCCCACTTTCATGAGACCTACCGTTATTGCTTGAGTAACAGCAATTGTCTAGAGTAACGATCAAATGTCTTAGAACCTTCGTATTCACCAAAACATGCAGCTTTAGAACTGCTAAGTTTGATAAACAATCGTTTGCTGTAATCTTGAAACTAGCCGGTAGTAGGCCTATGGACTGGCTAGTAGCGCCGCCGTCTATCTGCCATAGACATAGTACAGGCTCCTCTCAAATGCACTTGTTTTCAATTAATCACCGACAATTTTCAAGTTTACCAATTCTGCCATTCTCGCTACACGATAAAATGCATTGGTGTTACGATGTGTTCATCTCAAATTTTCTATGCTATAACTGCATAAAATCTTAGTATTTTTAATGTTAGTGTAATTAGTGATATTTTCGCTGTCAGGTGAGACTATATTCAGCTATATTTAATTTTTCTGAGCAAAAATCTTGCAATAATCAGTTTAATTACCTTGCAGAATCTTTAGGAAACCGGAAAAAGTGAAGGTTTCTATGAGTTGACGACCTGTTTTTGTAATTTATTGCGGAACAATATGTGCCACCGTGACCGCAGCGACTATACTAGTAGTACTAGTAGTAGTACTAGTAGTACTAGTAGTAGCAGGAGTAGCAGGAGTAAGATAATATAGGAGGAGTATGACACTCCAAAACAATAAACATGAGAAATTCAACATTTGCTTGCCTAATTTTACCCATGATATATTACGTGCAACTCGATAAAAATTACATCTAAATTAGCGTTGGACATCCACCTCACACTCAAACTTTACTTTGTTTCTATACCTCTTCTTTTTATGAAGATATAGCTTTGAACGTCACACATGGTTCATAGCGTTTGACTATGGTGGTGGTTCAGGTTTCCTGGGCTTACCTTCAAACAGTGGCTAGCCTGTGAGGAATGGTCTTGTCTGTTGACACGAATGCCACCTGTTGGCGGCAGGAGTAAGATAATATAGGAGCCTATATTATATCCTATATTATATCATACACGCGTACACTATATATATTATCCTATATATATACACATATATATATATACACATATATATATATACACGTATATATATATACACGAATATATATATACACACTATATATATACACACATATATACTATATTATCCTATATTATATAATATCCTATATTATCTTACTCCTGCCGCCAACAGGTGGCATTGTCAACAGACAATGCCATTCCTCACAGGCTAGCCACTGTTTGAGGGTGTTGCTATATCCCCCAGGCGTGGAGGGAGGGGTCACGTGATACAGTTGACGTATACTTCAAAATCATTACTCATCCAGTAACGCCAACTCCAACACCTCCAACGGTAACCATAACACTAAACATATATATCTCGGAGCGCTATATATAGGTCCAAAAATCCACAAAAATTAATCTATGGTGTGGGGACAGATATCATGATGCAAAAACCCTAACCCTAACCCTAACCCAATCCCTAACCCTAACCCTGACCCTAACCCTAATCCTAACACTATCCTTATACTAGTGCTGCCACGTTGCAATAACATCCCTCCACGCCCGGGGGATAGCATTACCCACTGTTTGAAGGCAATTAAGCCCAGGAAACTTGAACCACCACCATAGTCAAACGCTATGAACCATGTGTGACGTTCAAAGCTATATCTCCATAAAAAGAAGAGGTGTAGAAACAAAGTAAAGTTTGAGTGTGAGGTGGATGTCCAACGCTAATTTTATAGATGTAATTTTTATCGAGTTGCACGTAATATATCATCGGTAAAATTAGGCAAGCAAATGTTGAATTTCTTATGTTTTGGAGTGTCATATACTCCTCCTATATTATCTTACTCCTGGTAGTAGTACTAGTAGTACTAGTCGGCCTAGGCATACTGCTAGCCGCTATGCAGACTTCGAAGACTGTGACGACCAGGCGCCAGCACCATTCAATTATTTATGGTCGCCCAATACCAATAGAGCTGAGTGATCATGCTCTAAGAGTAAGATCATATACGTGCTCTGCACTGTAGTACTACTACTAGTGCTGAGAGGGTCTATGTCCCCCGGGGTACTGCCGGAACGTACCCTGGGTACGGTCCGGTATACCGGAATGTACCCTGGTACTATCTAATATGCCGAACCGTACCTCGTCTACTCCACTAACGAGTCTAGGGAGTCGCCTACGCCTACTTCCTTACCCGAACCCTAATCCTAACCCTAATACTAACCATATCAAATAGTGACCAGGGTACGTTCAGGTATACCGGACCGTACCCAGGGTACGTTCCGGAATATAGCTCTAGTACTATAGCCCGCTTACATTAACTGCCGCTGGCCGCGCCTGGCTGGCTGGCTGGCTGGCGCTGCCGCGGCAGTTAATGTAAGCGGGCTATAGCACTAGAACTAGTTCCGGCAGTACCCTGGGGGACATAGACCCTAGGCTATGGCTATGAGCCCTACTAGTGCCTAGTGTCGTGAGTATATAGTGCCTAGTGGTACAAACTAGAGCTAGATTTGAGGTGAATGTTTACAGCAGGGTCGGGACTAAACCGACCAGGCTGTCCGACTGTTACACGTGCGAATGGAACTTGTGCCTGGCCCTGTGGCTAGGTACGGGACCACTCTAATCTCTAGACCGTTCTGGATAGTTTACTGCGTAGCCCACGGTTACGTGGATAATAACGCAGGGAGGTGTGCGCTTAGATGTTGTCGTCAGCGGCAGTGGAACAGATAAGGTCTATCTCGGCCTCAGTACGCTGGTTCCACTGTTGAATAGTTCTCGGAAAGAAGGAATGGCGAAACTCTTCGGTGTTGACTCGCACTGTTTGAAGTTTCTGACTGTTCTTACTGCGTGTTCGCGTGTCCGTTGCACGATGAAAAATCACCCTATCCAGCAAAATAAACGTGTGTTATTAAGCTTGGGAGCCAGAAATCCTAATTGAAATCACAATAACCTGGCCCAACTGTCCCCTTTATTGGACGCGAAAGATCACACGATCAGATCAAAACCACTGATCTTTATATTAATTATTAGTTAACTTATAGAGATCAGATTCAGTGATCAAAACAAACATCCATGTTTGAGCTGAAACGATGGTGGCGCTACCGCGTTGATCAATGAATCAGGCCGCAGTGCCTCTGGTGGTGGTTTTATGCAATGGTAAAGGGTAAAGGGTTATGCAATGGTGGTTTATGCAATGGTAAAGGGCGTCCATAGATCGAATTAACACTAATCGAAGCCACTGGCAGCAAGAACCACTGATCTCTATAATATAATCTCTATAATGATCTCTATAATGATCTCTACACTGATCTCTATAATATAATAGATTATAGTACAGTAGATTAGGAAAACATCGTTCAAATTGTGAAAAAAGTATGAAAATTGGTACACTTGCATACTTTTGTATGCTCTTTCATTTAAAAGCAGGACACACGCGATCCAACTACAACTTCGGCCGCCATCTTGAATTTAAAAATGGCCGCCGTTATTTCTTAAAAAATAGCTATATCTCGGTTAATAATCTTC